AATTTTTAACAGAACAAATAGCAAAAGTTGTCTTGTCCATTTTCCTACATAGGTAACAATGAATCAACCTGAGATAATATTTTCTTCCACTACAATTTTAAGAGTTGTATTTCAAGAGGAAGTCTGACATAACCTGAAGCTGTCCAGTAAGCTCTAGTTGCACGGGTAGTTATTATTTTTGAAATGAGTAGTTGGAAGTGAGAAAAATCTAGTAGTTAGCTAGCACATGGATGCTTTTAACAAATTCATAATAAATAAACTTTCAGTTCTAGTAGTCATGATATCAAAGCCAAAATAACCCATAATTGTTGCCTGTTAGAAAAGTAAAGTAAAATTTTCATTTACTTCTTCATAAAGAAAAGATGGACCAAATTAGGATCACTGGGAGGATATTATATAAATCTGGGATGGTAGCGAGGAGGAGGGGTTGGGGTCGTCCCTGGAAAGGTTGGAGGGAGGGGGCATGGGAGGCTTTTAATTGTTAGGAGCCTGGACATTCAACAGGCTTGTGTGAGAGGGTTAGACAGGAGCGATTAGAGCCAAGTGGGTTTTATGATTTTGTGTTGTTCCAGTGTGAGCTAGGTAACATTTATAAAGGAATTCCGGAAACCAGCTAACCGGACTTGAGTCCTGGAGGTAGTGCAGAGGGGGTTGGGATGTTACAGTTCAGATAGCTGTCAGCTGTGATGTCAGCACGCTTCTGTCAGGCAATAATCGAATGAATGACGGTGAAAGTGTTTCTTCTTTGTCGGGTCAATCCCATCTTTGTAGGAGACGGTTGATATGTGAAAAAATAATTGAGGACCCACAAACTCGGAGAAGAGAATACAAGCACTTAAAGAAAATCTTAGTTTCTTTCTGAAGCTACTGGAGTATTTTTTTTTACCCCTACTACTACATATACAAGGTGTTTCAGTCGTACGAGGCCCCGAGTTATTGTTTACTACAGACATAATATCCAAACAAGATGGTTACAGTTATGGGAGTACCAACTCGGGGACTCCTACGAGTGAAGCAACCTGTATTTTCAAAAATTATATTTAATGTAGACATAGGGAATGATGATAATATATGACGGCGTAATACCTATATTTCGAGAACTTAATCCAACTCCCGTTAGGTATGCCTAGGATGGCAACAGTAAAATATAAATACATTCTTAAGAACTTTCCCGACATCAATAACATTCTCAAAGAACACAGAGGTCATTGTGTTCCTTGACTTTGTTATACTGTTATTGACGCAGTAAGAAATCGCTTTGAGTCTGCTCTTGTTTCAATGAAATTAAACATATATATATATATATATATATATATATATATATATATATATATATATATATATATAATATATATATATATATATATATATATATGCATATGCTACGTGTATTTTTTGTATAAAATGATCTTAAACCTGTATAAATAACGTCTACTTTTCTATATGAATATCTACACTACTTGTATTTTCTTCAATAACTGACTCAGTTGACTACAAATTAAGGACCCGAGAATAACCAAGTAAAACATTTTGTATTGAATCCATTTCTCCAGCCTGAGGGTTACTCTACACAACACTGATAATACATGTAAATTTTGCCAGCCAGTTAAATATACCAAGATTCAGTTGTTGCATTAAGCAAACATCTTTTCACAAGCAAACCAACAAACAAATACAACACACAACAAATAAAGAGCTTGCGATATATTCAGCTCACTGAAGCATCTTCGTGATAAACAAAAATATCTTGCAGCAGACATGGGTTGAGATGAGAGGCTTCTCATTTTGATTCCACTAACAGTACAGACATATAGCAGGGAGCAGGGCAGGCAGTTGAGTTATCAAGCACTCACCTCCGAGTTGGAAAAATTACAATTATTTAGTAGTTGTGTTTTCTGAACCAGGATGACACACTCGGGTTTAAATAATAGAAACTCATTGGCTTAAATAAACCTACATTTCTATCTAAGAATTCTTAAAAATGTTACAAAAAAGTGTTAGTACATAACCCAAACCGGGAAGAATCATTAGCTCTTGTGTTTCTTAGCAGTTAAAGGTACCATGGCATTGATAGGAAAATCCAGTACCCGTAACCTCTTAAGTACCACTTAAAACTAGCTGCGAAACTTTATCAAGGCTCACTTAATATACCTTATCAAAAGAATCTTCAAAAGACCAAAGCCCCTGAAGGGTTAGGTAATATACAAAAACCAAACACTTAATGCTCCTGAAATAAGGTTAGCTACACCATATAAAGATATTTTCGCAATGATACAATGCTTCTTATAGTCTCTTCTTTTTAAAAATATTTTTAATAATTCCGACAGGAATTGGGCTCCTTCGAATACAGAATCCCTGACCAAGGGAGCAATTCGCTGATCTCTCGAAGCACTGACAGGACCTTGTGGTACGCGCTGCGAGTTCTCTGACTGATCAAGGATCCACCACATTGATAAAGAATTCAGGTATCGAAGGCACCTGAAGACAGAAGCATGAAGCAAGCTCCTGAGAGCTGGAAATGCTAGGAAACTTACATATCTCAAAGCATATAACAACTATCCAAGACCAAAAAGAAATGCACCTATTACTCGTGAGCAAGACAATAGAGAGT